GGCCGGGGCCTGCAGGCCCCCGGTACGGCAGGATCCGGACTCCGGACCGGACTATGAGGCGCTACCGGCCGGAGCCACTGTCACCACGCACATGGTGGCGGGCGCCGTGGCAGGGATTCTGGAGCACTGCGTGATGTACCCCATCGACTGCGTCAAGGTGAGACTTGGACCGGCTCCGAACCCGACCTAGGGCTGGCCCGACCCCTGGGTCCTGTCCGGAGCCAGGATCCCGGCCGAGAGCCGGAGCCGACATGAGTTGCTTCTTGGCTCCTGCCATCACCACACAATTCGACTGATACTCCATGCAAGCAAGGTCCGGGCTGGGAGTTGATCCCAGTCAGGAACCAGGACCCGTTTCTAACCGTCAGTGAGATCTGAATCAGGACTCTGGAACGAAAATCTGTCAGCCCAAGCCCTGGATCTCAGCTGGGACTAAACAGGAATAGGGTGGGATGGGATGAGAACGGGTAAGTGTTACTAACTTGATTAAGGTGAAGCCAACTGCCTTGAATCAGATCCTAATGCCTTGAGATGTTCTCTAGGCGAGTGCTTTTACAAACTCCTTGCCTTGTCTTCCCTAAAAAGTGTCGCGGCAGGAACCAGAATCTGGAATCTCTCAACTAGATAAAAAAAATTTACTTAATCTAACCCATGACTGATGGGAAATCATTGTGCAGTCAGAATTCAGAGTACCAGACTGGAAATAATGTGAGAAAGACCGTGTTCAGGAAAAGGTTTCGGTTTCTCTGTGCAGCAAACATATGACACCCCACCTATTTCCTGAACATGAAAATTGAGCTGGGATTAGGATTGTGCATGTGCAGAGAGAACATCAGCTCCTAACGGAGAAATGGAACCGATAGTGTTATTTCTTTAGCCATCTGAAGTTGACAAAAAGGGAAAACTTGACTAGAAGGGAAGCATTACGACATAGGAAAGTGGATGTAAGTGTGAAGAAAACGAAATGAGCTCAAAACGAGGGCGTGATTTGATGAAAGTAAATCTAGTTATTGCATCCCAGCCAAGGAGGCTGATTATTGATTAGAAGGTGTATAAGTCAGGTGCTTCTTAAGAAAGCTGAGTGAAGAGGGGAACCGATTATTCTTACAGTTCTTTTTCTTGTGCATGAGCTAAGGTACCAACCACTAAAAATGAGGACTAAATTGAGAAGTTATCTCGAGAGGTTTTGTTGAAATAAATGTAATAACAGACTGGTGCCTCCTTTACATGTTTAAGGGTATAATCAGACAATATCCTGTCAGTTCATTGATGTATGTTTTGTCTGCAAATTAGGAAAAATGTTATATATTCAGAAAGAAGAGAGTATCAACTTAGGAAATGCAGACTGTCTCTTCTGTTTCTTCCTGGTTCCAGTACCGTTTCATATTTCATTTGTAATGTGGATGAGGAAATGGAGAAAGTGCTCGTTAAGCTTTGTGAATGACATTGAGTTGGTAGGAGTATTCTGGCACATTGCAAGATAACTCCTAACAAGAGCTATACCACTGAAAGAGTGGTAAATGTACTTCGCTAAAGTGAACATTAGAATTTTAAAAGCTCTTGTCAATGGGGAGGAATAGAAATAAACAGTAAAATCCATCAGAGAAAAGAAAATGGTTAGTGCTCTAACAATATTGAAATGTAAAATGGATAACTACAAATGAAAAAGATTCAGACATTTATGTAATGGAGTCTAGGTTGAATGACTGAATTGTTAATGTTATATATCCAAAAGTTAATATGATCTAACTGCAAAATAACATCACTATACTTAGACTGTGAGTAAAGAGCAGGGTCTAGAGTACTCTGTTTCAGGAAAGGTATCAAATGAAAACTAGATCAAAGAGCACAGTGAATATTATTTAAGGACTTGAAAAATACAATGTAATGTTGACCGACTTAGAAATTACTATAACTTACCAATTTAAGTGTTGTTCCAGTACCGTGGGAAGCTACCTCCTTACCCCATGTATTTATATAATGCTACTGTTGCTGTTAACATTTTACAGATTCTTTTCTGTTAGAAATGCCTCTAGAATATTTGGGTGCATATACTTAATGGGAGCAAATCTTTGTCCTATGACAAGATGGAATTGACTTTTTAGTAACTGAAACCATTCAGGATCAAATATGGTGGATAAAATGGCAGATCAAAATGGGTAGTACTGGTTAGAGTCAAAGATAAGGTGAGACCAGAAAGCAGGGAGACTGATTGACTCCTGAGGCTGATAAACTCACTGAGGGAACATTTCTGAAGAAGAGTTCCAAAAATGTTTTGCATAATCACAGCATTGCTGGAAGTCACTTCTAGCCTTCCAGGGTAACTACAGTATTTTAAAGAACGGTTCTTACTCATTTACATAAGCTTTGGATTTTTTTCTTAAAAATGAGTCATACAACATTTTAGTCATGCCTCAACGCCCTACATTAAAGAAATAATTTTTTGATCTGGAGGAAAAAATGTTCAGGAATCTTCAAAAACAAAAGCTTATTTTAGAAGAATCATTTGCCATTAATGCTGGGATGTAAATCACTAGAGGGAAACACTAGGTGAGACCTGTAGGATTTAGTGTCAGTAGGTATGTTAAACACTTATGCAGACATGAAAGTAAAATTCATATATCTTCAGAAAAGGCTTCCCAGTTCACTTGTGCTGGGGCAGCTCTTCTTCCTCTTTACCATAAATGAGTGGTAGAGAGGAAGAGCAGCCCAACTGTACCCTAAGATTAGAGGCAGGTACCCATGTTGGAGCTTCAAGAGCAGCCACAGTGTTTGCAAATGAAAGCTGACATTGCCTCTTGGCATGTAAACCTGTGTCCCCCCAGCCACTTATCAGAGTCAAGGTGACTTAAAATGCCCTTGGGAGGGACCATGAGAAGTCAGCATAGCCTTGCTAGGCTATAGTTATTCAGCCAACTATTTCCATGGTCATATAGAGAGGTTTAGGAACCCAAATAAATGTCAGTTTTCTTTTTCTAGGCCTTTATCTATAAAGGTATAGGCTCTAATACTTTTTATCTATAAAGGGATAAAGCACCAGGCTTTATCTATAGGGATAGGCTCTGCAACTTGGCGCAGTCGGAACTCTTCTCAAAGTCATCTGGCAGAGTACCCACCTGTCAGCAAGGTGCTGCTTTTTTTTAGCTCTGTAGTGGTAAAGCAAATAGTCTACTCTCATAATAGGGGGAAAGAGCAAAGAGAAATTCTCTTTTCCAAATTCCAGATGTAAATGGATATCTATACACATTCACTGATGAACGGTTAGGGACTGGCAGCATTGGCTTATTTGATTTTCTTGTGTCTAATAATAATAACAATAATAATAAATATTCAATAAATGACAGTAAATGATATGCCGTATTTTCATTTAGTCCTTGAGACCACTTCATGAAGTAGACACCATTTTCATTATTTTACAGATGAAAAAAAGGAGGCAAGTTAAATAACTTGTCCAAGGTCATATAGTTTAAGTGGTAGAGTCATGATTTGAACCCAGTCTGACTCCCAAGCCTTCCGTACAGCTTCTCAAAATCAGATTTCCAGAACTAAGCAAGGCACAGAATTTGACAATAGTGCTTGTTCCTAAACATGACCTTCAGATTAATAGCTGGACATGTAAATCATAATCACAGAGAAACTTTAAAATGAAAACAATACAAATTAAATCTGATTTATTAAGGAGCAGTTAGTTGCCCATGCACATTTGTGAAATGACTTATCCAGAGACAACAATGCCATGATCTGTAAGATGAACTAATACTTTTGAGAATCATATTTAAATACAACCATAGCTTTATATTTCTAGCATCTCATAAATTACCAATGGTTTTTACATGCCTCAACTCTTTGAATCCACACAACGGACCTATGTGCCAGCCATTCTTAGTCTTATTCTATAGACGATAATATTGAAACTCAGAGAGGTTAAGTGACATACCCAAGAACACACATTTAGCAAAGCGGGGGCTTAAACTCAGGCTTTCTAACTCAAATGTAGCTTGTCTTTTACCAAACCACTTATCTCCCTACTAGTAGCTTTTCTTCAAAGTCAGGCAGTGGTTTTTGTTATATTAAAGGCTATTAATATATTCTTACTTAGAGATTTTGTCTTTCTCCAAAAGATAGATTTATTGGTCCACAAATTAGGGGAGCCACATTTGTATATTTGGCATTGCTTATGCCTGGGTCCTTACCATAAAGGAAATTTTCATTGAGTTAAAATTGTGAGTCACATTTAGATGTGTGTAAAATGTTCAGAGTAACTTACCCGCAGTCCAGGTTTCTCTTGGGGGTGAAGAGTTCCAAGCCTCTGAGGCCAGATCTTTCAAGACTGGTTGCCTAACCATGCCCTTGACTCCAGCAAAGCAGTGCAATTTCTGAGTATTCTCCCTATACAAGATCAGTTCCAAACAAACCTATGGAAACATAATTGTTAAGCTACCAGGCCCGGTTTATCTGTTAGTAGCCATAGCCTGCAAAGACCTGTAGCCTTTCTGAATAATTCATCTGATGAATTTTATACCCCTTGCATGATGTGAAAGATTAGTAAGTACACCCTCGACTGGACATTTATGAATTTGTGTTTTGAGAAGTGGAAGAGTGTGTCAAATTGTGATAAGTGATACTGTGTATTTCTAATCGAACTTCCAGTAATTAATCTTTTAAGCTCCTAGTTCTTTCTTGGTAGCAGGCAGGAGAAAATAGTATAGAGGAA